ATGTGTGTGTGTGTGTGTGTGTGTGTGTGTGTGTGTGTGTGTGTGTGTGGTGGGGGAGGGGAAGGCATGGAGACCTCGAGGGGGTTTGTACCATGTGACCGGATGGGGGCTGGTGGGGGGCTGTGGAATGGACCAGAGTAAGGGGGGGGGCAATGGTGGAGAGCTGGGGGCGCGGGCAGGGAACAGAGGAAGAGCTCAGTGGTGCTGGGGGGCTCAGTGTGGAGCCATGTGGGGCTCAAGTGGGCCTCCTTACTTCTTGGCGCAGAAGGTGGCACAGTCCCTCTCCACACTCTCGCTCCATGCCAGCTTGTAGAGCACCTGACCAGGGAGAGAGACCATGAGCTGCCTGTCCTGCCTCATGGCCGCTCCTGCAGTCTACCCTCAGCCCCTGGGCCTGGCTTCCCAGCACAACAACGTTCTCATGGCCCAGCCCCCAGGGCAGGCGGGCCTTAGAGATGCCCCATGCCTGCCTGTTTCACACATGGCCAGACAGGCCTGGACATAGAGATGCCATCTCTAACATTTCTGGGCATATCACTGTCAGGGCCAGGACCCGCTGGGCCCTGGGGTCAGCGTTGGAGCCCAGCCTAGCCATGTAGGGGCCATCTTGAGTGTGGCCTTGCTGGGGGTGAGAGTTCCTGATGCTGGAACCCTCCATAAGTATGCCCTGTATTCTCGCTGTCCCTGACTCAGTGGACATACAGGCATCACTGGGTCTCTGTATGTATTGTGCCCAATAACTGGAATGTCCGTCTGCAACCGGGAAGATTCAGTTCAAGATGTCCCTTCTTTGTGCAGCCCACCTGGCTGTCCCTTAGTAAAGTTAGTTAGACCCTCTTTCCCACCTGCCTCAGACTCCCACAGCGGCCCGCCCTTCCCTCCACCAAGTCCCTCTAGGACAGGGCCCTGGAAGGAGTCAGCCAGGCCTCTGCCAAGGAGTGGCAGGGCCGCTGCCCCAGCCAGAAGGCCCAATGGATAGGTTGTCATCCCCACGGTGGGCTGAGGCCCTGAAGGGGAGAGAAGGGGCCAGGAGCAGGCAATGGGGCTTGAGGATGGCCTGGGTGCCAAGTCACAATGCCAGGGCTCCTTCTGGCCCTGGAGGCATTCCTGGCTGCCCACATGGACACTCACCAGGAAGACCAGGCAATGCAGGAACAGTG